TGGAGTTGGAGGTGCTGCTGGAGCTGGAGCTGCTGGAGGTGCCGCTGGGGCTGGAGGTGCTGGTGGAGCTGGAGCTGGAGGTGCTGCTGGAGCTGGAGCTGCTGTCGGAGCTGGAGTTGCTGTCGGTGCTGGTTCTGGAGGCGCTGAGCGACCGCGACCGTACTTCGTTCCTTTGCTTCAACAGGTTCTTGCTCTCTCGCCTTCTACTGACCTTACTCCTTCCTTACTGTGTCCACCGCCTGACCAGTCCTAGCCGTAGTTACAGCCAGCCTCCCCACTGCCTGCTCCTTCTCCTTACACTAAGCAGCCCGGAGGTCTTACAGAGCGTCGTGTCCTGCGTCGCCTGTTTGCGCTGTTTGCACTGGTCGTCGTGTTCCGCATCAGCGTCCTCCTCCTGTCCCTGGCACGCACCAGATGGCGCTTCATTCTTCCTCTGTTCCCCTTCGTGTCCCTCTGACGTCTCCTCCTGCGTCCTCCCTTGCTGACGATCCGGACCCGGAGTCTGACTCCCTTCGTGCTGCTAGTCCTACTGTCACGCGTCTCCTGGCCACTGTTGTTACTGACCCTTCCTTTGAGTCTACTGCTGCGTCTGCTCTTTTTGCTAAGCTGGTTCACTTTGCTGCCGCCTGTCGTCTAGACTGCGCCGCTAGTCTTGTTGCTGAGTCAGAGTCTGTCCGTCCTTCTTCCGTCGGGGGTGAGTGTGCTCTTGGCGCGGACGTCCTTGAGGACAGGCAGGAGTGTTTTGCAGCTACTGTACCTCATCTCGTGTCCATGCTGATTGCACATGAGGGAGACCCGGATGCACCAGACATCCCGACCCCGCGCTCTTACGCAGAGGCGATAGAGGGTCCCTACTCCTCTCAGTGGCACTCAGCCATGGACGCAAAGATGGCATCATGGAAGTCCACAGGCACCTACGTCGACGAGGTTCCCCTACCTGGGGCGAACATCGTCAGTGGCATGTGGATTTTCAGGGTGAAGCGGTCGCCGGGTTCTCCGCCTGTCTTCAAAATGCATTACGTTGCACGAGGCTTCAGACAGTGACACGGAGTTGACTTCTTCCAGACCTTCTCCCCTACCCTGAAGATGACCACTCTTTGGGTACTGCTGCACGACGCCGCTCAGCGTGACTACGAGCTTCACTCTCTTGACTTCAGCATTACTTCCGTACAGGAGATCTGGCTACGCCGCCCACCTGGCTTCATTGGGTCGTTTCCTGCATGTACCCAGTGAAGCCTCCGGCGGCCAGTCTACGGTCTCCGCCAGGCGCCTCGCGAGTGGCACGACACACTGAGGACGACTCTTGCGGCTCTTGGGTTTGCTCCTTCTACAACTGACCCGTCGCTGTTTCTACGCACCGACACTTCGCTGCCGCTGTTCTATATCCTCGTGTACGTCGACGACTTGGTCTTTGCCACTGCTAGCACTGCTAAACTGGCCTACGTGAAGTCGGAGCTGCAGAGGAGACACACGTGCACAAACCCGGGTGAGCTGCGCAGCTATCTTGGCTTGCAGATCACCCGGGACAGGGCACAGCGCACCATTACCTTGACTCAGTCACACATGGTGCAGCAGGTCCTTCGGCGCTTCGACTTCCAGTACTCCTCGCCATAGTCCACTCCTCTGCCTACCGGTCACTCGCTCTCAGCTCTGCCTTCGGATGAGTCCGTAGAGCCAAGTGGCCCGTATCCAGAGCTTTTGGGCTGCCTCATGTACCTGATGACCTGCACTCGACCTGACCTTGCTTACCCTCTTAGCATCCTGGCACGCTACGTTGCGCCCGGGAGACACCGACCAGAGCACTAGAAGGCCACTAAGAGGGTGATGCGCTACTTGTGCAGTACGTCGGGCATGGGGCTCGTGCTTGGAGGACGGGCTCGAATTGTCCTCACTGGTCACGCAGACGCTTCTTGGATTGACGACTTGGCTACGCAGCGGCCGTCACAGGGTTACATCTTCAGCCTTGGCTCCGGTTCTGTTTCGTGGCGGTCTACCCGCTCGTCTTCTGTTCTCAGCTCCAGTTGTGAGGTTGAGATCTACGCTGGGGCCATGGCTGCACAGGAGTTACGCTGGCTCACCTACCTGCTGACCGACTTGGGAGAGGCGCCTCGTTCTCCTCCAGTTCTGTACGTCGACAACAAGGCCATGATTGCCTTGTGTCAGGAGCACAGACTGGAGCACATCGCTCTGCGCTACTTCCTTGCTCGAGAGTTGCAGCAGCGTGGTTAGCTTCGTCTTGTTTACGTGGCCTCTTAGGCCAACACTGTTGATATCTTCACCAAGGCACTTCAGCCTTGTGATCATCAGCGTTTCTGTACTGTTCTAGGCTTTGTGCCTACTTTGCCTCACTTGCTCACTTCTTGACTTTGCCTGTACTGTAATCTATATACATATATCTGCATGCTTACACTTGCTAGGTTGTGATCATTGTATTGCTTGTTCTCCTATATATATGTATGTATACATATATATATATATATCTCTCTCTCTCTGCATCTGAACTAGCCTTGTGGCCATTTGACCCACGGATTTTGACGAACAGGACTATTCACCCACAGATACAGTACCGACCCATATTTCACGACCGGAAATCTACAGCAACTGGCAGAAGCAAAGGGAGCCTATTACGTAAAGACAGGCACCAACCGCATTTGGGTACCAGCGTACTCACTACTAAGGGAACTGTTATTGCAGGAGGCACACGACGAAATTACCTCGGGACATATTGGGTTAAAAAAAACGCGACAGCAACTGCAGCGGTATTACTATTGGCCGAAGCTGTTGACCGACGTACAGCACCACGTGGGCTCGTATCCTACGTGTCAGGTGATGAAGAGCTCGCGAAAAAGGAAGGCGGGTCAATTGCGGCCGATTCCACCGCCTGAGCGCGCCTGGCAGCAAATTACCATGGATTTTGTCACAGGGTTACCTTCGAACCTTGGGGGTAACGACGCGGTTATGGTCGTCGTTGACAGGTTGACGAAGATGCCACACTTCGCTGCGTGCAAGAAATCGATCTCAGCCGAAGAAACGGCTCGCCTGTTCATCGCACCCGTCGTTTGACTGCACGGGATACCAGCCGCGATAATCAGCGACCGAGACACGAAGTTCACCAGCAACTTCTGGAAAAAACTTTGGGAGCAGTTCGGGACCAGGCTACAGTTCAGCTCGTCATACCACCCCGAGACCGACGGTCAAACGGAGCGGACGAATCAAACGATGGAGCAGTTGATTCGTGCCACGTGCGACGACCCGACCACTTGGGAGCAGCAGCTGCCGCTGATCGAGTTTGTGTACAACAACACCACGTTAGCGACGACGCAGCAGTTCCCGTTCTACCTGAACTACGGGCAAAACCCTACAGTGCCCATGACGCCGAGTCCGGACAACCCAACTCCACGCGCACAACAATTTGCCGAGATTTTGCAAGCTGCCCGCACTAGAGTCGCCGAAGCGATTAAAAAAACAAATGTCATCGCTAAACGCAACGCTGACCGCCACCGCCGCCCAGTCACATACCAGTCAAGGGATTACGTACTACTCGACACACAGAACTTAAGACTGCCCGTCGTACCGAAATTATGACCGCGCTACTGTGGACCATTCCAAATCAGCCATATGATCACCCCAGTGACAGCACACTTACTGTTGCCGACAGACTGGTACATCAGCCCATCATTCCACGTTAGCCTGCTTCGCCCATACATCCCAACCACGAGGCAACTGGCTCGTCACCCCCCGCCATCCATGACTCGCCCTGCATCGTAGCCGATCATCGAGCCCGAAAAAATCTTGAGCCATCGGATTCGACACCCCACGGGAATCAGGAGGATTGAGTTCCTCGTTCGCTGGAAGGACCGCACGCCAACTGAGGATAGCTGGGTGCCTCTGGCCAACATCGAACACCACTCTGCCCTGCAAGTGTACCTGAGGAGCCGGGGTTTCCGCGATATACACGCACTCGCGTAGCGGAGGGGCTTCTTGAGGGGGGGGGGGGGGGGGGGGGGGTAGTGTAAGGAATTTTCTCGACATTCCTTAGCGCGCCCTGCAACATCGCGTACAGCAGGAGCCGTTGTTCGCCCGTTACTGCCGACGGGGCTTCCCAACTTCGCGCGCACTGTTTCACCAAACCTCGCACTGCTGGCCCGGCCGTGTCGGCCTACGCTTCGGGACTAGCCTGAACCTCCCTGCTAGCGTAGCAGTAGCTAGTTCGCATGCACCGCGTTACCGTTTGCATGTTTCGCGTATAAATGTTCGCTCATGCCTTCGCTCACATTTTGTACTCGTTTGACACTTAGTGCAATCCTCGCGACCTCGATTCATTGCACCCGTAACACCCATGCTCAACACTAATTTCACTTGTTGCCTCTATGTGCAATCCGTGCCAATTATTCCATGTATCGCACACACCAACCTTCATTAATTTGCCATTGGTACGTTTGAAGCTGGTTTTCACACTGTGTTACAGCTCCGTTGCTGACACCTCCGGTTTGTCAGGGAAAACGAATCGCGGTGACCAACGGATCGCAAATATCTTCCCTACCCCAAATTCCCGCGTTGCATCCGTCCATCAATTTTGCTAGTCGCATCGAATCGTGGGCAGGTTCAACAATACTGTACATTTGCTAGTCTTTTTGCACGGTACGGGCGAACACAGAGAAGCACATGAGAGCGCCCTGGGAATTGTCGGAAACAAAGTACCGAAACGGCTAGCAATGGCGAAAACTGATGAGTCGCCAGGAGTCATGACAAGGACCAACATCAAAGACGCGAACTCATGTAACTTCATGCGAAAACATATTGCTGTTTCCCGCAACACAACTTTGCTGCTGCGACACCTCAGCGAGACGTTTCCGAATCGTAACAGCACATTCCATGTCGCATCCATCCATTCCACCGTGACCCATCTCTCGCCCATTTCATTCCACTTGCTGCCTGGCCCGACTTGCTGGTCCTAACTTTTCAGGGAGGTCCCACCATCCAGCACGATTCACGACTGCATGACAGCTCGTCCTGACACAATTCACCTCAGCGCAAGCAGCTCATGCGTTCCCTCAGTCCAACAGACTAAGGCGGTACTTTGGTTCTCTTTCGATTCCAAAAAGCATCCTCCAGTGCACGAGGCTTTGAATCACTTCGCAGCCATCACCCGCCATTTCCCTGTAGGACCCTCGCACCTCAACACACCGCTTGCAAAGAGCAGCAGCAGCAGCAGCAGCAGCAGCAGCAGCAGCAGCAGCAGCAGCAGCAGCCGCAGCAGCAGCAGCAGCAGCAGCAGCAGCAGCAGCAGCAGCAGCAGCAGCAGCAGCAGCAGCAGCAGCAGCAGCAGCAGCAGCAGCAGCAGCAGCAGCAGCAGCAGCAGCAGCAGCAGCAGCAGCAGCAGCAGCAGCAGCAGCAGCAGCAGCAGCAGCAGCAGCAGCAGCAGCAGCAGCAGCAGCAGCAGCAGCAGCAGCAGCAGCAGCAGCAGGAGCAGCAGCAGCAGCAGCAGCAGCAGCAGCAGCAGCAGAAGGAGCAGGAGCACGGGCAGTGATGTCGTTCCGAGCACCGCTGCTCAGCAGCGCGGCAGCAAGGAACAAGCCGTCCGTCTTCCAGCTTTCCGTCAAATACTCGGCGGCTGGCGGCAATTCCGCGCCGCCAATCAGCCCGTACGGAAAGGGCAAGAAAAACAACTGGTCAGGATGCGGCCCGTTCGTCTGGGAATGTCTAGGAGGGAAGCCCATGCTGCTTATGATGCTCATAACCGCCTGCGTCGCGGGCCACGTGGCGATTAGCAGGGGCCGCCAGTCCGCCTGGACGCGACTCGCCAGCGAGCCGCAGATGATTCTTGCGGGCCAGAAAGCCCAAGTCGCAGTATCTCTGTCCGAAGAATCTATGAGCGTTCGCGTCTCGGAGGATATGAAAGTGCGCGACTCGAGCATCGAGAGTACCGTCACCACGAACGGCGGTGTCGGTGTTGCGGAGTTTAAGGGGCAGAGCACGGGAGCCGACGAAGCTTCTACCGCGTCTTCCTCCGCCAAAATCGACGATGCACTCGAGCGGCAGGCATCGGAGGAAGGGGCGGCGGATTACACGCCGCAAATTACGGCGGATGCCGCGGAGGCAGAGGAGCCGCAGCAGGCGGGTCAAGCCGCGGCGCAGCAGCAGGCGGAGGCGGAAAAGCAACGGTACTACTTGGTCGTTGGCGGGAACAACACGTGCATCGCGGAGGACGAGTGGAAATGGAATTTTCTGTGCGCTGCGGCGGAGGCGAAGGCGTTAAATCGCGTATTAGTTATCCCGCTCATGTACTGCTTTACCGGAAGAGGCGGCGACCGCGTGGAACGGCCCATGGCGCTTTACTACGACATTGAGAAGATGAAAAGGTGAGGACCGGAAACGGCGGGGAAGAATGGAGGGGGGCGAGGGAGCAGCCAATCGCGTTTCGATGAAGCACGGAGAATATGAAAACGCGTGGAACGGCCCATTGCGCTTTAATACGACATCGAGAAGATGGAAAGGTGAGGACCGGGATAGGCGGGAAGGGATGGATGGGGAGGAAAGAGAGGTTTGTGATTCGCATTGATAGGCGTGAAGCGGCCATTGGCGCTTCAGTATGGCTTGCAAGAGATGAAAGGGTGGGGAACGGGAAAAAGAGGGAGGTCGGCGGGGACGGGGACGAGGAGCGGCTTATAGCTCTTAGTTATGACGTGGAAGGAATGAGATGTGAGGAATGGATGGGGGAGGAGGGGAAGGGGAAGGGGGGAGAGAGGGGACGGCGGGAAAAGCTGCATAAGAGGTACAAACCTTTTCTGTATTGTGCATAATATTTGGTCGAGGGGTTTAAAAACGCGAGAAACCACACCGAGGGTCGTTTAACCGCACCGGCTTGCCGCCCTTCTTCGTATTTTGACTTCCCCGCATTGCTCCTCCTCCCATTCTCCTCCCCCTCTTTAATTCCCCACATGCGTGTTCTTCTCCATTACCCTGCCACCCCCCGGGCTTCTCCCCCCCACCCCGCGTCCCGCATCTCCCTCCCCTTCCCCCACGTCACTTCGTCCCCCCGTCTTCTCCCCCACAATCAGCATCCAGCCACTCGTGACCGATCTGGAATTCGACCTGCGATTCGGGGACTGGCGCTCCGGCGCGTTCCGCAAGCGGTACTCGGTGCGCGAGTTCGGGCCGCACGACCCCACGAGCGATTTGCGCAGCAACGCGGCCGACGCGCACCTGGTGGTGCGCGTTCTGCAACAGCAACAGCGCACCGCGCGCATCTGCAAGGGCGAGGTATGCGAGCAGGCTGGTGGCCCTCCGTTGTGGTGTGAGTGTGTGTGTGTGTGTGTGTGTGTGTGTGTGTGTGTGTGTGTTGTGTGCGTGCGTGCGTGCGTGCGTGCGTGCGTGCGTGTGTGTGGTGTGTGTGTGTGTGTGTGTGTGAGCTTGTGTGTGCGTGCGTGTGTGTGTGTGAGTGCGTGCGTGTGCGTGTGTGGAAATTCAGCTTAGTAAGCCTCGTCTGCGAAAACGGCTGATTTTTTTTGTTTTTTTTTTTTTCCCCGGAAAATTTCAACATGAGTCCTGCACAAGCAGCAACTCATGTTAGGGTTACAGGCTACGAATCAAGGTACGGGCAGGCCACGCAAAGAGTGCCGCAATCATGGAGGCTCCCTTTTCCTTCGCTTGTCCCTCAGCAGTTGCCAACTCCTCCCTAATCCTTCGTTTGTCGTGCTGGCAGGACTCGCTGGTGCGCAACGAGAAGCTGGTGCAGGAGCGCAAGGAGCTCAAGGCGCTGAGCGCAGCCATAGTGTTTTCCATCGGCGGTGACTATGACGCGGTGCTTGTAAAGAGGGCGAAGAAGAGTCTGTGGACCGGATGGTCCCACGTGGACAGGCTCACACGCCCCGCCGCGTGAGTGGTGTGCGTCTTGTGCTATGACGTGGTGCTTGTAAAGAGGGCGAAGAAGAGCCTGCGGACCGGATGGTCCCACGTGGACAGTCTTGTGCTGCTGCTGCTGCTGTTGCTGCTGCTGCTGCTGATGGTGATGGTGCTGGTCGTATGCTGTATTGGTGCTCGCAGTTGCAAATGGATGGATCCTCACATCGCTCCCTTTTCTAATGCTCGTGCTTTTCAGGCTGCTGAAGTCCCTCCCCCGGTTCATCCCCAAGGGGCGCCACGTGTACATAGCGTCGAACGAGCGCACGCCGGGCTTCTTCAACCCGCTCGCCTCGCTCTACAAGATCCACGTGCTCTCCGACTACCGCCACCTCTGGGCGCCCGGCAGCGACTGGTACAATGACTACAGGGACGTCCTTGCTGCGCTGAGGATGAGAGGCGCTGATCCTCAGTTCGATATGCATATGAAGGTGAGAGCGGGGATAACGTGTGAAGATTGGAGGGGAATTGGCAAGGCAAGGGATTGGAGGTTTTCTGGAGGGGTGGTGAGGAGGGGAGTGTGGCTGTTGTGAGATGCGGTAAATTGTGCTATGGCTGGTTGCTGTTTGAGATATGATCCATTGGAGTGTAATAGGGCGAGAAGCCGGACCTACAAACAGATTCATTTACTGCATTTTGTTTCTAATGAGGCTCCCGCCTGTCATGGTTATGGTACCTGTTTTTGAATGGTTTATTTCCTTCCTTGTTTGCTTGTCCTACGTTGTGTTATCAACAGTCGATTGTCGACCGTCTTGTTATGAGGAGGGCGTCAATGAAGGTGGATACGTTCAAGGACATCGTACCCCTGAACCACTCATAGTCATTTCCTGTTTCCCTAGTCACCCGTGTGCCCTCCACCATTCAGGGTGGACCTTGGTGACATAAGGAAATTAAATAGAATTCCAGCGTTGCATTTTGGATGAATATGTTAGTTTCTGTCAAGTAGGCTGTTTTGTTTTTCAGCTTTAGAAGCTTTTTTATCTTCTGCTGTTTTGCATGCTAGGACTTCGGTACACCGCATTTAGCTTCAAAACTTGTCTCCGATGAATTGATAACGGATAATCTGGGTACCACGTGTCTTCCACTCAAGACTTTCTTTCCACGCATTGCCTAGCTGGCACGCAGCATGTGAGTCTTCGCAAGGCACGGGGATATGCGACCCGACACGCGTCTCGGCCACGTCGCAAATTTTCGTGTAGTTCTGCTGCTGTACATTTCCATCCACAATTCTGGAGGATGACATTGTTGCTCGACATTGCAGGCTCTGGGGACAAAAACGATGGCGGAAACCAACGCCAAAGAAACCAAGATTTCCAGAATGCATCATTCCTTCATAGATTTCCTTCGAACAAATCTGTCATCTCCCGCAATTGGCACGTGATACTCGAATAATTTTGAGATCGTCCTTTGTGTCCTTATCTCTGGTGTTCGAAACCGTTCCTTGTTGACTTGTGAAGTTGCGTTTATTGGAAATTGCTGACACCAAAGCTCCGCACACTTCTTAGGATCCGGCTCGTTCTTTCGAAGACCGCAGCCAGCATGCCAGCCAACGCAGCGCAGGCAGGGGGAGGAGCAGCGGGTGGTAGATCAGGAGGGGCCGCTGGTGGGGCGGCAGTTGTGGGTGCATTTGGAGCTTCGGCTACTGGTGGTACTAGACCAGCGACTTCACCGGTAAGCACCCATTCTCCGATCCGCGACGCGGCGAGCGGGCAGATCAAGGGCATGGAGAGCTTTGCGGAGCGAAAGGCGGGCCGCGGACGGTTCATCGTGATCTCGCTGATCGCAGCAACAGCCGCCGCGGCGTGGATAACTAACTACACCGCGAATTCGCGAGGCCAGCCCGTTCCCACGGTGCCTAAGGAGAAGGATAAGGACCAGACGCACCATCCGGAGGGCCCGGTGATTAAGAACGCGCCTAAGCACGTAGTGGCGGGACCTGGCGTCACGGGGCATAACGAGGCGCTGAAAGGGAGCCTCCCTGAGTCGATTGATATCTCCAGGGACAGGGGGTGATTGGGTTACCGTGGTAACCATGTAATAGAGTGATGGTCCACGGTGGTGGGGAGTAGGGTTGAGGAGAAAGGGGGAGGGGGAAGAAGGAGTAGGGTGGTGGTGAATCTGAGAGGTGGGATACGAAAAGTATTGTAAACTAGCCACGCGTCAAAATAGGGAGGTGGTCTGGCTGGGTGATCTGGCTGGGTGGTCTGGCTGGTTGGTCTGGCTGGTTGGTCTGGCTGGTTGGTCTGGCTGGTTGGTCTGGCTGGTTGGTCTGGCTGGTTGGTCTGGCTGGTTGGTCTGGCTGGTTGGTCTGGCTGGTTGGTCTGGCTGGTTGGTCTGGCTGGTTGGTCTGGCTGGTTGGTCTGGCTGGTTGGTCTGGCTGGTTGGTCTGGCTGGTTGGTCTGGCTGGTTGTTCTGGCTGGTTGGTCTGGCTGGTTGTTCTGGCTGGATGGTCTGGCTGGTTGGTCTGGCTGGTTGTTCTGGCTGGTTGGTCTGGCTGGTTGTTCTGGCTGGTTGGTCTGGCTGGTTGTTCTGGCTGGTTGGTCTGGCTGGTTGTTCTGGCTGGTTGGTCTGGCTGGTTGGTCTGGCTGGTTGGTCTGGCTGGTTGGTCTGGCTGGTTGGTCTGGCTGG